GTGTGAAGAAAAGAAACGCTTTCGACCTGGCGTAGAATAACCAATATTTAAGCTAGTCTTTTCTTTTAAATGTTGTTGAAAGCCCCGGTCTGGCTCTAAAAAATTTATTATGGTTGAAAATCGCTTGTTACATGAAAAACGGAGATTTTTTTTTTTGAAGTAGACGATAATAATTTTATTCATGTAACGTTTATATTGAATGACACTTGATCTGCAATGTCCCGCGACTAATAGATAAAGTATGTAACTTATCCAAATCAGCTAAGTTTATCTTTTTCAACATACCATTATTAGCATGCAATTCTAGTAAATTTCTATTTTTACTAACATCCAAAACACTAATTCCAGTCTTAATTTTGAAAGTTTTACCAAAAAAGGTTTCTTCTTTAAACTAGAGTTATTTGAACAATCCAAATATTCTTTCTAATTTGCCACAATCTTTTGATATCTAAACCTTCTAATTCATTATCAGAACAATCTAACCTTTTTAAATTAACAAATCCCTCCAATTTTAAATCCCCTTGTAATCCTAAACTACTAAGATCCAGTTTTTCAATATTAGCTCCTTTGGCTAAAGGATATCTTCTCATCTAACCACTCTTGAGCTTCACCATCCACTTGACTAATTATTATCTGATCTGATAACCCCAAAGCATCTTAATGATATTTTTCTTTGGGATTCAAAGGATTACCACTATAAGAAATAGTTCTTAGGTTCTTATTCTTTAAATCTTCCAGAGGAACATCTCACTTAGTTAACTGATTATTGTGAGCATAAATTTCTCGCACATTAGGGCAATTCTCTATCTTTAAATCTTTTAGTTTGTTATGAGAACAAACAACTAATCTTAGTTCAAGACAATTTCTTATTACTATTTCTTCTAGTTAATTGTTACTTAAATTCAACTGCTTTAAATCAGGATAATCTTCAATTACTAAGGTTAACAATCTTTTCTTCAACACTGGCTAAATTATTGAAATCTTTTTTTCTTGTTTAGCCTTAATTTCTAATCATTTATCTAGTCAGGCTTGGTTTTCGTATTCTCTGTTTGTCATAAGGAATGGTCCAATTAAATATTGTTTTCATGTGTTGTTTAATGGCTAGAGACCATTGGTAAAATAATAATGTAAAAAAAAAATTATAAAATTCTTATGAAAATGGGTTTTGCCTGTAATTTCTTCTTCCTCTATAAAACCCCATATTAATTATATATTTCCTGGAAGCTTTCAATGTGCTCTCTCTTGTAATGGTAAAATGATTTTAAAAAAGCTGTTGTCTGAAAAGAATGGAGCTTCCAAAGTCAAAAGTGTATGGTTTTTGAAATGCTGTTGTTCCGCAACCAAAAGGGCTATTTATATATAAGAGATCACGTTTTAAAGAGAAAAAGTGCCCAATCGTTTTTGCTTAGATGTATGAAATAATTTACATTTGCCGAAGACTGTTGTACAGAGAAATGTGCCAAAAAGCAGTGACCCTAATTATTTAATTACTATAGTGCAAGTCACTTAGTTGCTGAACTTTTTATTGGCTGTGTAGATCTTATATCCTCTCCAAAAATGGAAATGTATGACCAAAAAAACAAATCATAGAATTAAAGCTAAGACATTTCTCTACAATTCTATGATTTCATTTTGTTGATATGCCATGTTACCATGGAGGAGTGACACATTAAAGTTCTCAAA